TCGGGTGAGCCGATCAGTTTGCTCCCATCTCCACAAGGGCTTGGCCTGAGTGCGGCCTCTCCTGCCCCAGGTTCACAGTATGCATGTTTCCATATCAGCCTGCGCCCCGGAGGCAGGCACGGTGCGATCAGAGGCTGCATTGAGGAGGCGGGGCTGCCCCACCGAGCCCGTGTATTTGCTCAGATCTCCCCCTTGGCCAGTCCTAGGTTTGGTCTCTGCTACCCTAGGTACACGAGGTGCACACTTCTGTGTTTTCAGGCTCCCAGGAAGGCGGGTGCGGGGTGGTCAGGGGGCGGGGGCGGGGCGGTGGCAGCTACAGAGAGGGTGGAAGCGGGAGGCATGGGCTGCCCAGGCAAGCCTGTAGATTTCCATCCAGTGTCCCCCTCAGCCTCCAAAGGGGGCGCCCTCTGCTGCTTCAGGGTGGCAATTGGCATCCCTCCAGGTGGGTCGAATATTGGGAGGCTTCCTCCATTAGACAGACAGAGAGACAAATAAATAGACAGACAGACACACTAGCCTCTTCCTCCATTTACAAACAGCCATATATCCTAACTTCCTCCTCCTCATCCATTATATAGGTAGACAGATGCATACATAGGCAGACAGACAGACACACACACACACACACATGCCTCCTCCTACTCCTCAATTAAGTAGGTAGAGAGACACACTAATCTTCTCCATTAGATAATAGACAAACTTAATAGACTTTCTCCTCCTCCATTAGATAGAAAGTGAGATTGATGGATACACACACTAGCCTCTACCTTCTCCTGTTAGAAACAGACAGATAGCCAGATACATGGGAATCCTCCTTCTCCATTAGATATAGATAGGGACAACTCTCAGACACACAGAGAGACAGACACACTAGTCTCCTCCTCTGACAGAGAGATAGACACTCTAGCCTCCTCGTTCTCGATTACATATAAGTACATATATTGATATCTGATAGATAGACAGACAGACATACTAGCCTACTCTTCTTCCATTTGATGCATACATAGACTGATAGATACAGTATCCTCCTCCCTCACTAGATACAGATACATAGATAGACCAGCACACGCACACACTAGCC